TCTCTCTCTCTCTCTCTCTCTCTCTCTCTCTCTCTCTCTCTCTCTCTCTCTCTCTCTCTCTCTCTTGCTGTTCCCTGTGCATGCACATATGATTTATGACAGCTGAATGGCCCTCTACATAGTCTGCACTGAATGCACACTCAGAGTGACTCAGTCGCTGCTTTGCAATGGTTGTGTGAGTCGATGATGTGACTGCAGATTCCGGCATGGCTGCAGAATAGGGGTTCACTCACAGAGAGTAATATGTGTAGGATCCAGACGAAATGAGGTGATGAACTGACTGTCATGTAATATCTGTGTGGCAGTGTGTGCAACCCATGAAAGGGGGATGCTGCTGTATGCGAGACGGGCACGCCATGACAGATACCATTTTATTTGACATCTGACTGAGACCCTGATTCCTGAATCCTGAACAACGAAAACTTTAAGACGATTGGACTCTAGTAGCCTCCATAGCAGCACTAATCTTGGATAATATAAACCACCAGTCCCTCCAAGGTGTCTTTTTCCCAATGCAGTTTTTGGCTGCGCGCCAATTCCTCCCGAATGCAGCACGTGATTCAACTGGCTGCGCCAGGTCCTGCCTTTTCCCTCCCGTAGGCCTGAGTCGCCTGACCTCTGATTTTGCCAAAGGGCTAACCTGCATGTCGAAACGAAATAGGGGGGAAAATGGGTTTAAGGGGGGGTGGTGGAGTATTAGGATTAATACTTTTCATCTGTAAATATCTTGCTGTGAATTGAATGTATGATTGCAATATTTGGTGTCCTACACCTTAGGGAACCTACCAGCACAGTCCTGTGGCACTGCCGGTGCATGTTGCATGTTGAGCACGTCGAGTCTTTTATGTGCACTGTCCTCGCCATCGCTACCAAGGCGGTGACCTTTACATCCACCAGAAAGAAAAAAAAAGGTAAAGAAATTTAAAGTTGTTATGCTGTTATCAACTTATCACACACAGCTCTCTGAGAATATTTATTAGAGGAACTGTAACCTTTGCTTTTGTTCTTGCTCCAATGACAACAGGGGACAGCACACAAAGTTCTGCTCGGTTTCTATTCGCGATTTGCTTGCCTTCGCTTTGTTCTGTGCTTCTCTTCACGAGTTGCTGCCCTTCACTTTGCTCTCGGCTTCTATTTGAAGTTGCTTCACCATTCTCTTTGCTGGTGTGTTCTTGCCTGCACACTGAACACTGCACACTGCACAGTGCACATGATTGATCCTCCTCCTCCTCCTCGTGCTGCTCACCTGCTTCTGTATGGTTCTAATGGTCATGCGGTATGCTCGTGGGAAGGTCATTGTGTGGAGTGCGCAATTGGAACAGAAATGGAGCGAGAGAAAACACCACAGACATTCTGTTCTGTTCAAGAAGACATAAATTATGACATGATTGCTTCCTTTCTTCCGTTTTCTAGAGAGAGCTCGGAGCACTGCGCCAGCTTGCCCCCACAGTGGATTCTGTGAGGAAGACCCCGGAGCTTCAGCAGACCCGGACCAGCCTTTTTGATTTTCTACTCTGTTTTTCAAACCGCCAGCCCCCTGGCGTTTCCAAATTCAGGGGTAGTGCTTTTTGCCGTCAAATTTTGGGCCTACAGGTAGCAGCAGGAAGAAGAAAGATGCAGAAAAATGCAAGCGTTTGCCATCAGGATTGAGGCCTTGGACATAATTTTGCCTCCTGACGACACTTCGGATTGGTAGATGGTGAAATTCCGATCATGATCTTGGATTTTGGATCGAAACGTATTCCAAATGACAACAGTCTGTGTTGAATATCAAAACAATCTTGTTTCCTTCCTAATGGCTCTGCAGATCTATAAACACTGAAAACTCAGATCATCCTTGAGTGTGGGTGAATAGAACCTGTCTGTTTGATTTTATTTCAATGCAAAAAACAAGAAAGGGACCCTAATCTTGGAGTGAGGAAAACCCTGAATACCTTAAGGCTTAAACCCTATGTCACAAACTCAGGTCATGGCATTGTCGCTGCATCCGGTCTGAAAGTTGGCCTAAATACCGCCATAATGACCGGGCGTTCTAATCGGGTGAAGACGGTAGTTGGAAAGCTGTAGTTGACGATGTGGCAGAGCCTCTTCATTGCCTTCGATCAATGTCCCAAATGAAAGCAGGGGTGTCGCCAACCAACGAACCCAGTTTACCATTCCCCAGATAACCATTCCTCAATGTTTTAAGAAGGGTCTGTCTCTTGGGGGGGTCTTGCTTGATAAGTTTCATTGTCCACCTCCACTCTGAGTAGTGGAGCATTTCCGTAAGACCAGGTCCTTCCCATGCTTCAATAACCGGCTTACTGTGTTGCGAGTCGATGGCCGCCTCGCATCTTCGTTTGCACATTGCCCACAGAGTAAGTGGACAAAATCTTTTCTGAAAGAACCTTTGTTCCCATTTGTGCGCATATGCTGGTTCTCTCAGACGTGTGAGCAAGGTCACAGGATCTTGTGGGAGAGGATGGACAATGAGTGCCATGGAGCGGGAGTCGGGATCGGGGAAGGAGGGGGAGAGGAAGGGACGTCGGGATCGGAGCATCGGGATCACAAGGGAGGGGGGAGGAGGGGGAGGAGGGGGAGGCGGGATTGAGGAAAGAGGGGGAGCAGAGGGAGGGGTCGGCTCACATCCCCCTACCCTGTCTCTCTCTCTCTCTCTCTCTCTCTCTCTCTCTCTCTCTCTCTCTCTCTCTCTCTCTCTCTCTCTCTCTTTCTCTCCAGCATTCTCCTCCCTCCTCCCTACTCCTCCCTTCTCCTCCCTCCTCCTCTCCCTCCATCCTCCGGCCTCGTCCGTCCATCGTCATCATCCCCATCTCTTGATCCTCCCTCCTTCTACGTCATCATCGCCCTACTTCCCCGTCCTCCCTCCATCCTCCCTTCTCCTCCACCCCTCGATATTGTCCTCCTCCGAGTCCTCCCTCCTCAGCCTCCATCCTCCGTTCTCCATTCTCCCTCCTCCTCCCTCCTCCTCCCTCGTCCCTCCTCCTCCGTACTCCCTGCTCCCTCCTCCTCACCCTCTCTCCCTGGCCCACCCTCCTCCTCCCTCCATCTATCGTCAATGGCCTCCTTCCTCCTCCCGCCTCTTCCTCCCTCCATCCTCAGAGTCCCTACATCGTCGCCATCGATTCCCCCTCCCCTCTCTCGATCCCGACCCCTCCCTCTGCTCCCCCTCTTTCCTCAATCCGCCTCCCCCTCCTCCCCC